GCTGCCTTGAGTTATTTATAAAAATAATAAAGGTGGGATAAAAAATCTAAAGTGTAATGAATTGATAAAATGCTTCATTGCTACTGACCCAGCCTGATACCTTCCAGTTATATTGTACTACAAAGTCCGTAATTTCTACCCAGGATGGATATAATGGGAGTGATATGCTGATTCATCCCAATGACATGAGTTGGGTGTTGGAGCTATAATTTTAATTTATGAGGCTAAATCTTATATCTGGGAGTAAGTACCATTATATACAGGTTAGGTTATTTAATGGATACCAGAGAGTGTTGCCCATGTGTGAGATCTGGGGCACTTTCTTCCAAATCATTTCTGAAGCAGTTACAATCCTAAAATGCACACAGGAATGGTTAAGCTTATAGAGGATGGATTTTTTTTTCCTCTTGCATTGTGAGTGCTATGCACTGTGATGTTACCCAGATAATTTAACATCTCGATAAAGCTGCTGAGTGAAGTCATCTGTGAGTTCAGGGTGAGATGCCATCAGTGTGCTGATAATACTGAACTACATGAGCTAGGGTTGCTATCGAAAGCTTGAACCAGGGTCTGGCTGGGCAAAATCTATGAAATCCCTCCAAAACCATCAAGTTGCTGTATATCAATACAGGTAGTCCTTGCTTAACAACCCTAATTGGGACTGGAAATTGACCTTCACCTTCTTCTTCCCCGTTGCTGATGATGTGCGCCCAGCTGAGGCAGATGCTGGCCCTTCACGAAGTCTTCATTCTGGAGGCCTTGCAAGGCTGCACAAAGGCCTCATGAGGCCTTACAAAAGGCCAGCAGCTGCCTCAGCCAGGCATGCCTCATCAGCACTAGGAGGAAGAAGATGGCAAAGGTCAGCTGGGGGCAGCAGGGGTAGGCAGTGGTGGAATGCAGGGCAGCCAAAAGGGCAGAGATGGGGGAAGATAGGTGGTTGGGGGGAGTTGAAGCACACACTGGATGTAAATGCAAGCGGATTCCCAAGCACCCAAATTTTGATCTTGTGACCGCTGGGGCACTGCA